GAACAACTGGAGATGAAATTATATTCTACAGAATAAATACTTAACTGTTACTAGAAATATAATACTACCTTTTCTACAGCGTGCCTTATGCTTTCGTGACCATCCGAAACAATGCAAAGACCCTCCTTATCACCAACTACTTCTTGCAATTTTGTGAAAAACCAGACGTAGGAGTTGTTATTTTCGGAGTCAACAACGCTAAATGCAAGCGGTAATATATGAGAATTTGCATCTTGACAAGAGGCTGTCAATAAAATTCCTCCATATACCGACGTCAAAAATGTCCCATCGACAATAACAATTGGCCGACAATGTACCCACCTTTAACAGATGCACCGAGTGACATGAAAACATACATGAAATTCTTATCCCATGTGGTGCACATCATCACATTGCTACCCGGGTTTGATGCACGTACCTTACTAAGATATTGATGAACATAATTGTATGACACATCAACCTTGCCACGAACTTCATCAACAGCTTTCCGTTTCGACCTCCATGCTTTGCGATATGTCATCCCAAACCGATTTTGCATGTCGTCAATGATATCCCGGATTATATGAAGTTTTATTGTTGGTGAAACTACTAACAAGTGTTGATGTCGCCTGTCTCTGATTACTAGTACGGACATCCAAACCACATATATGTTCAGTCCCCACGTCTCTTATCTTAAAAGTGTTTGACCGACCCATACGGGAAGCTTTCACAAACCATGTACACTCGCTCGAGACACACCTGACATAATATTAAAAGTGTTAAATATATCAAAATATAAGTCAAATATAATAGAATATAAGTTAAATATACCAGGATACTAATCAATCGATACACACCTGACATAATATTGCTTGGAGCATGACTTGTCAACCTTGAGATGATACTGATGCTTTAGTGCATGCATGGTCAACATTGTTTGTAACGTTTCCTTATCCTCTAGTAAAACACCAGCAATAATACCAGAGCCAAAATTTTCCTCGCCTGTCAACGGCATTTCAGAACCAGGGTATATGACAAGTATATTTTCGGTATATGCTGCCACTTCTACCATCTCTTCAGCCACGTTCCTCGCGAACGACATGAAATTTATTGTGCCATCTGATTTATCAGGTTGCCTGTCAAGCTCCGGATAACACAGTGGAGCTATGTTTGATTCACCATTCACAGAACCTATATTCAGTTCTTCATCAAACGAATTTTCAACACTACTCCGAGATTTCACCACAACGCACAACGGATATTTTGCGTAGTCAGCTTCTTTGGACACCAAAAATACATAGAAGCTAAGGCTCCTATCGCTGTTTATCGAAATTAGTGGACTACCTTCCTTCAGCTTATATTTTAGATCAAGCACAGATGATTGACGTATCAACCCGAGCTCCTCACATAATATACCGCGTAATTCGTTGAAGCTGCCTTCTTTCCGAACCAAAACACCAGATAGTTGGTAATTCACGTAGTCATTCATCACCCATTCACCCCCATGATGTATGAATATCATCATATTCGGATTCATCTGGCGAAAAAAAAGAAATAAAAAAAAAAAAAAAAAAAAAAAAAGCCGGGTTGATGAGTGCTCGGCACAGGTTTTTAACACAAAATATACCTCCCAATCTTTGGCATGTATGTATTTGTTCTTGACTGTTGTTCGGGGTGATGAGTGCTCGCCACAGGATTTGATCGACACCACTCGTTTTTTTCCCCTGTTAATGCATAGCGTCTGTCGGAGACGATCGATCGAAAAAACGACGCGTTTTTTTTTTTCTATGGATGAAGAACGTCTGTCGACTTTTTCCAAAAAATATTTGCTCGCCGGCGTGTTTTCTTTCTTTTTGTACCGTCCGTATCTGAATTCAAATTCAAATGTGATATCCTTCCATCTTGAGACCTGAAATTATGCCCTAGAAACATGGAAAGGTTGTTCATCTCGTGTAACTGATATTTAGGCATAATTTTAATTACTTTTTATATTTTAGGTGTATACACAATTCAATTGAATTGAGTGGTAAAGCTGCAATTATTTTAAAAACGGGTAGCACAGGTGAAAATTTCCCATTAAAGTAGGATCCCTAACTTATCAATACTCTAATGGGCCAAGGTGTACAAATGTCTGCACATGTCTAACCAAATACAGTAAACAAACGAAAAAAGGAAAATCCACCCAAAAGGGTCGTCTAAACCTAGGTTAGAAGGTGCCAAGGCGACCAGTCTGACCCACAAAAGGATCTGAAGTACCATAACAACACACAAAAAACTAAAAACTACCTACTAAAAGACTACCGGAATCTGAAATAGGGGGTAACCGTCCTGATCCATCTTACACAAGCTTGACTTTCCAACAATTGAATCCAACAAAATGTCCATACAGATTAAAATCATAAATACAAAACAATTTCATCCTACTCTAGTTAATTACTAAGTGATACAATTTCATTAAATTACACAGATAATACAAAAGTAGAAAGTCAGACATAGGTATGATAGGCAAGGTTTAAACATCAAAACTTGACGGTCAAATCCAGTCTGCTGATCGTTCACTTCAAACTCCCACTTCACCTTCGACTTCAATCGTGTACGAATGAACACAAAACATAGTAATCCAGCCTACCACTGCTGTAAAAACTTATATAACAACCTGCTGAAGCCCACCAAATAGGTCTTTTCTTACGAAAACAACCCAGAGGCAACACGAACCAAGAAATATCAAATCGTGCGTGTGTCCATTACTTTAAGCTCGGCAACTTGATGTTTCCCACCCAGGCATTATTGTCACCACTTAAAGTTCAATACCAGTGATTCCCGTGGGCCGCAGCAACTTTTCTGGCCATGTAAAGATCAGGCTTGGGCTGGATCCCATTGAGGCCTTCATTCACGCCTTCACCCTCTTCAATCTTGCAGCCCGGGTTTTTTCTTGGGAAGGACACATACTGGGATGGGAGGCTAGGGTTTCTTGTCATTTTTCGCTCATCTCTTGTCTTGCCCGATGCTTCGCAGGTGTTGTACCCTATCATCGGGCCAATGATTTTCCCAGGCCTTGCAGCTCCTCTACCTGAGATACAACCAATTTATTCCAAGAGAAAAAAATCAAGCAACGGATAGGCAAATGAACAATGTGAAAAATAATGTCATCTTTGTATATAGTTAAAGAATATCAATCATTAGTAAGATTCACTTTCATTACCTTGGATACTTGGCGGAACTTGGGTAGGTAACCTTGACATCACAGTAAGTAGAGAAGACCGATCAATTTGTGGATTCTCGACTTGCTCGTTAATTGCGCACTTTGAAAGATCATAGGCAACATCAGCCGTGCTCTGGTTTGATCTGTCTGAGTACACTACAGCTGGCCTGTTAAAAAACACGAAGTTAATATGAAAGGCAAAGCTCAAATGACAAAACTGAGAGAATAAAATAATGGGAAAAAAAATCTGTACAAGTGACCTGGGCAGAGATGATGAATGTTGTCTCTCGAGTGGAGAAGCTGCTCCGTTTCTGTAACGCTCTTCAAGAAACGCAAATTGCTTCTTGAATTTGTCAACGGCACTGTATATAAGAAACTCTGATAAGATCCCAAATCATCACTAGAAAATAGGATTTGTTGCTTGTGAAATCACATTTAAAGCTGTGAGAAAGCATAGAAAATGAATAGGGGAAAATAAAAAAGGGAAAGAAGGAAAGCATGATAAATCAAACATTTGCCCCGAAGGTTATTCAACATATTAACCCGATAGCGATGATAGCGAAAATTGGAAGGACGTAATTGCTTTAAAATATAGAGATATATGAACTCAATAAGCATGTGTTATATACTAAATCTCCAGTTTAGGTTTCGGTACCTCGGATACATAAAACTCGTGGGTTCAGCTCCCTCCAGATACTCTTTCAGCATCTTCGGGTGATATTCAAGAATTTCCCGATATATCAACTCTCTGACATCATCTTTTGTGATCCTTCTCCTTTCAAATTCAAATTCCATTTTTGTCACTGGTTGTGCAGAAGGCTCTCTCTCAACCCTAGCCAGGTTCCGGAAGTATGGATCTGCAAGGGCCTGATAGCTCCAAAGAATATTAATTTTATCAATTAGAACTGGGCTTCGATTCTTAAAATTAATAAATAAAATATTTAACCTCTTCGGCAGAAGGTCTATCCTTCAGGTCAAAAGCGAGCATTCTTTCTAACAAACGTAGGGCCAATGGGTCAGCATTCGGGAATTTGAGGGACAAAGGAATCGCCTTCTTCTTTCTCATGCTACTTAAGTATCTCCTAGCCTTTTCATTTCTTATCTGGCAAGTGATATTGTATAATAAATGAAGTAATAAGCTACTCTTTAAAGAGTTAAATTAGAAGGGGAAAAAAAAATTATTGAAAGATGAATATACCCTTGCAATGGTTTCAGGAGGTGGAGTGCCCAACAGATCAGTCATCAGGTCTAATTGATGAACCACATTTTTACCAGGAAATAGTGGTTTCCCAGTCAAAAGTTCAGCAAATATGCAGCCAATACTCCAGATGTCAATGGCAGGTGTATACTGTATGAAAGAAGCAAACAAATAAAATAAAATAAATTAATAAAACATACAAAAAAAAAAAAATTATGAAGGATTATGGGTTTTGCAATTCACGCACTTGAGAATCATGGATCATTACCTTAGAGAAAAAAGAGCCACACAATTCGGGAGCTCTGTACCACCTAGTTGCAACATAATCCTTAATAAAGGCAGAAAAAGATGATTCATTATTCCAAGTTATTAGGCAGCTTCGCATGCACATTACATGCAGATTTAATTAGTCAACAACGGCCATAAAAACACAACACAAAGAAAAAAGATGCATACTGTCCAAAATATTGCGGTAGGTGTATCATTGAAGGCCACTCTGGCAAGGCCGAAATCACATATTTTAAGCTTGCAGTCAGCATTTGCCAGGATATTTTTTGGTTTCAGATCCCGATGAAACACATTAGCTGCATTTAGGAATAAGATGTGTTAGAAAAACACGATATTACAAACCTTCCCTTCTGAAATTATTTTAAAAAAAATTAAAAGTTTCCGCATTTTAATCAAGAAAGTGAAAGAGTTGTTTGATGTTACCAAAAGAAAAATCTGTGGGGAGTTGTTAAGAGTTGGAAGTTCAAAGTGCTAGGAAGGAGAAAAAGGTAGTTAAGAACAAATAGAGTCAAAGTTCAGCTGTTTGAAGGGAGGGAGGATATATCAAATAAACTTTTCTTCCTTTGCCAAAAATAGCAAAAACACTTTACCAAAATCAGAAGTACCTCGTTAACCAGTTTTACAAGTTAATCAAATGAAGCAAACATTAGCAATGCAATCACCAAATGGTAATTTCCTTTAGCCAACCATCAACAATACCATCCACAAACACTTCTCAACAATACCATCCAGAGATGATTGTGATTACACAAACCTGTGTGTATGTATTTCATTCCTCTCAGAAGCTGATAAAGAAAGAACTGATAATGCTCTGGCGTCAGGTCATCATTTGCCTTGATAACCTGATGAAGATCAGATTCCATTAGTTCGAAAACGACGTATATATCCTTGAACTCTCTTCTAGAAGGCGGCAGTAAGATATGTTTGATCTCAACAATGTCCGGGTGGCGGAGGAGCCTGAGAAGCTTAATCTCGCGCAAAATCCGTGTGGCATCCGATACGTGCTCGAAAATATCATTTATTTTCTTGATAGCGACTTTTTCCCCGAGGTGAGTATCGTATGCCGAGCACACGACACCATAGCTGCCTTTGCCAATTACCTCCTCAATTCTATACCGACTACCTTCACCATATTCCGTGAAGAATTCTACATCTGCCTGCATGCGATAGATAATCATACAAGATTTTTAACTTATATGCTGATAGGAAAAAATCAGAAAAATTACTGGAACGAACAGTATAAAAATAAACTGTAACTGCAGACAAAGATTAAATACTTAATAATGACATTAGGTATCACACTCGCTCATTGCCAAATTATTATAATTGTTATTATTATTATTTGACATCTTTCAGATACTATGATCTCATTGTGCCAACCAGCATAAAACACTCCATGTTGTTTTACAGGTCAATTGGTTCTAAATGATTAAATCCTCAAAACAAGAAAAGAGACAGCAATCAGCTTCATTCAACCTTTGTAATATCAACGCCAAAAGACATAGCGATTAAAAAATATTCTGATCCCAAGACCCAAAGTAGCAAAATGTTGCTCAACTTTCAAATGGTTAGAATCTATAATTAAAATGTAAATGCTTCTTCCTAGTGACAAAAGAATGCACTTATAATCTTGCAGGAAGCAAGTATACAAAGTCAGCCTAAACCACGAATCACAAATGAGTGAGAGACAACAATAACTTAAAGGGTCCAAACTTCAAAATGTGTTAATCCTTATGAGGACAAGTTGAGATGGTAAACTAACAACGGACGTGAAATGTCGTTTCAATAATACCAGATTACTAATTACACGGGACCATGGTTTTTTTTTCTTTATTCAGAAATATTACCCTTTCAACGTTCATCCAAATACAAGTAAACACACAAACTTCACAATTATCATTTGCATGAAACAAAACAATGGATAAGCTTTTAGAGGCGAGTTCAACCTGTAGAAACAAACATATAGGTGCAACTAAAATATNAAATCAGGGAGAAGAATAAATTTCTAAAAAGAGGTATCAAAATAAAACCAAAAGCTAGTCAATTAGAAGGTGAAAGATTGGAAAACTATTTCAAGAATAAAAATGATATCCATATTAAACCTCAGCATCAACACTGTACTAAATCTTTCAAGACAAACTATACCTCTCTTTCAAATTTTCCAAATAAGATCTTTCAAAAGAACAAATTATGCTCCAGGGGCCCAGTTTGAGAAAAAATAAAAAATAAAAATTATACACACACGCACGCACATGATCCAAATAAGTTCCCATTTCACATTCAGAAATCACAACCTAACCAGCTCGCCAACCATCAATATAGACAGACGAAACAGCAAAAATATTATCCGCAAATTGCTGTAAATATGAAACTGAAAGATTATACCTTTTTTCTCTGACCGGGCTGCATGTTTTACCCCCAATAAGCATCCACGAAAACGAATCTAGACTCAAAAAGGAGCAAAGAGATAAGATGGTCTCGAACTTTATTCAAATAAGAAAATGAAGGGATTTCAGATAGTAAATGCAAAGATTAAATCCCAAGAAAACCCAGATGCGAAAAGTCAATCAACAACTCTCGATTTGGTAACAAAAGCCAAAGAAAGTGTAAAAGCTGCAATCTTTTATAAAGGGGTTACAGGGCTAAGGCCTAATACTTCCATTTAAGTGCGATACATAGAATTTTGTTTTGAGGAGGCCAAAGTGAATAAGAATAAGGAGATCAAAGAAATGGGATTTTTTTCCTAGATCGTTGGCGATGATATCTTAATGGAAGAATCGGTTAGTGACATGTGGGGAAGAAAAAGACTGCAAAGTGATGGTTTAGAGAGAGGAT